GAGAACCGCCCAAGGGTCCCAAAAAACATCAGTCTCCTCCTCTACCGAACATAGCATACTTTATGAAAAATGATCGATGTGGTTTTTAAGTAGCACCAATCTGTGGTTGCAATATCTTCTGTTGCCCAAAATTTAGGTTGTCATCCTCGGACCAATAGGCCATCCTTGGAAATCACTGGGGTGCGCCGACCTTGGAGCCAAGGATGCACGTCGCTCGAGGATGCACGTCGAGTTCAGTGCCGGTTCTTTGGTACCCAGGAGTTCAGCGCCGCTCCCGGCATGATCATTCAACTATATTCAACCTATGTCTATGTCAGCTCTTGGACAAGTACAGAATGTCACAGACCTCTCATTCTAGCCAAGTCCCATCATGTTGATGGTGACCATGTGTATGTAAAGGCCCTCAAATCCATCCGACCAAATGGACCATCGGCTCTAGAGCCGTCTAGACTCTAGACTTCATGTCAATCCACCAGCTTCGTGTTTCTCCTAACGTCATGCCGAAGCTAACGGGAGTTGAACTCCCCGGCTCGATCGACGTGTTCGTCGGGTACGGTACGAGTACCGGCACCGTTCCAAACCGTCCAAATCATCACGTGCACAGAGCACTCTGGAGGCGAAAAGCAAAGCATCTTGGACATGCATGGCATCTTCGATGTTGTAACGAGTACCCATTTGATCTCTCTCTCTCTATACATACGCCAAGTCTACGAGGGATCTGAGCACGTCTGCGTGCCAGGGGAGACGTCTCCCAACCCGATTGATGGGGATTTCTGGGACTCCCAGCGCCATCGTGCTTTTTTTGCCGAACAAGATGTCTATGACAGAACCCACATGAAGCACCCAACCAACTCCCACGAGTTTCCAGTCGCAAACACTCACCAACTTGGTGACCTTCCAAAAACGGCGTCATATCCACACCGAAGCGCCCGGAACACCGGCGCCGAAGCACGAGTGCACCGAGTCCCTGTCTCCGATGGTAAAAAACGACAAAAAGCGCCGATGGATCAAACGCCCGACTCATTCCATGGGTTTCATCGCTGCTGTTGATACAACCATCCGGTTGAGGTTGTGTCCCTCGTATCGGGATCCTGAGCTGAAAATACAGGTGTTTTCGGGGAAAAAAAAAAGAAGAAAAACACATGGGAGTGTACCAATTGTCCCGCTCTTCCATCCAGGTTGCCACCATGTGCTCATGTGAAGAAACATGCTCTGGGACATATTGAGTGATTCTTCAGGAATTTTCTGTACTGCTGAGGCCTCGGCATCTCATGGGTGTGTCACAGTGTTCGTACCGACTGTGACTCAGTGTGACTTCAACATCGGTCCACCCGGTCGAGCCGCAGCGGAGACAAAACGTTCGGGAAGCCTTTTCAAATGTATCTCTTCGAACTCACCCACCAAAACTTGGATTTGCTGTCCAGGAAGCCTGGAGAAAAAAAGAACAAACCATATTCCCCAGGTTAGGGGATACAGTATACCAGAAGGGGAAAAAAAACTACCTGATTAGCAAAACCCAAAAAATGCACTTTCAGATGTCTAGCAGTTCACCCTCCCAAAAACGACGTCCAAGAACAGCCCCAAAAACGACCCAACCCGTCCAACATCCAGCCCAGACAAAGCCAGCACTGCCGCACTGTCGCACTGCCTGAGGGCAGCTCGTGGGAGGCCTGCTCCTGCCACGAGCTCTGCAGGGTGCAGCGCGAAGGCAGTAGGGAAACCCCCTTTGGCCTTTTTGAGAGATTGATTATAGTCATCCTGGACTAAATAGAATATATGAAACGGATCCTTTTTTGGCTTGGTTCATATTCTACCTACTCCAGGATTCTCCAGGATGATTATATATAGAGATGGTGTATGGCGGGGGGATGGATCCACCGCTAGGTCAACCGCATGGCTGTCTTCGGCCGAAAATCCACATCTCTTCTTCGGAAACGGAACCCAACCTCCCTGCCAGTTCGGCAGTTCGGCAGTTCGGCGGCTTTGGCCTCGACACCGTTCGGCGCGGTGGTCGACACCGTCGGCTCTCGACACCGTTCGCGCCTCAGCCTGCAGCCGTCGCGCCAGGGCCTGGCAGTGGAGTCAATCCACGCGGGGGGGGGGGGGCCACGCCACGCGGCTTGGTCAGGTGATTGACGGGTGAACCTAGAAATCTAGAAATGGCGAGACCCCCAAAGGTATTTCCTTGGTCAAAGCCCTCTTTCCGCTGCATTCCAATTCTTTCATAGACTCCCGGACCCTAAAGATAGACTATTGCAACTGGGGTTTGGACAATGAGTGTTGGCCAAATTTCGTTTGGGGGGAGTGTTGGCGAAGCAACACCTAGGACTCCCCATTTCTCCCCATCGCTTGGTCTTTTCTCCAGCGACTCCCCTGGAAAGTAACTCCAAGCTACCAAGCACCGATCCAGAGAGTGAGATCCTCCAAATCGGAAACCTGCTTGATCCAAAACCCCTGATCAGCAGACATGTTGACACGGATCTTGTGGTTTTGCAGGGAGGGCTGGTATTGATCCAGCAAACAGGTCTACACCAAAAACCCGTGGGTTTGGGGTTTTGGTTGGCTGGTTTTGCATCCTACGCATAGCGACACAACATCGTCCGCCTCATCCTCGTTGACGGCTCTCGAGTCCATAGCTCGTGCATCGACTCGGCCAACTTTTGATTCGACGAGAACGTCGTGGGAATTTCTGGAGTTCGTCTCGAGTGTTCTAAAAGAAGAACAGAAGAACTGAAAGAAGCTGCTGGAATGTGGAAGCTCCATCTTCGGTCTGGATCACCCAGACAAACAAAGACCTTACACCAGTCCGACGTGAGTTACAGCACCTGGTTCTTCACCTATCAAAACTGGAATCTGAGTGGTCGGGTGACACTGTCACCCTGCAGCGCCGCCCGTTGGAAGGGCTGATTCTAAAACATAAGGGAGCCTTCGAGCGCGCGCTTTGTGTCCTTCTCGCTCATCAAGCAACTATGGGTGACCTTCTCACAGAAACCCCGACGGTTCGGTTGGGACAACATGTGTCCGACATATCTCAGGTGTCCGACGTGTCTGGCTTCTACCCGATTCTTACATCTCCGGCCCGGGCGAACCCGCTCAATCTGAAGAACAAAAGCATGATGCGGAGGTCGAAAATCCGTGAGGACACATCCATACACCCAATGATTCAGAGGAGCTCCGAGCTCGTGGGATTTTGCGTTTAGAAAAAGCTGTGCAAATAAGCCACAAGTGGCCCCTGAACCAAGTTATATAACAGTCGATGGCTTTGCATGTCCTACTTGGCTCGCGGTACCAATTCCTAAGTGCAACAACCCATCATCTATCGCCAGTGAGGTTTAAGGCAAACAAAGGCTCTTTATGGCGTGTCACCCAGTCTCAGGAAATATGCCGTGAACGCGAAATCTGATCGAAAATGGCGCTCTCGGGGTCGACCAATGATTGGGAAGCCATATAAAAGTCGATGGCAGGTGCAAAATAGAGACTACACAAACCACCATCAGTCACAGGGTCTGCAACCATGATTTTCCATGGGCAAATGACCTGTCCTCGTCACCAACATGTCTAGTGGGAGCTGCGATTCGATCCAGCTGAGCTGATGATCCACCTTTTCCAAGCTCCACACTCACCATAGCAGCATTGGCCGCCCATGCAAACCCACCATCTCAGGCTGGTTTGTAAAGACACATGATTCCAGTTGAGATACTAACTCATGGTCGCTTCAAAGACATGGACTGACATGGCGTGGACATCGCCCCAATTGTTTCTTAGACTATCAGGGAACCAAGATCAACTACAGCGACTACGGCGACTACGGTAGCGAAACCATGGTAGCGAAAAGTCTTCACTTCGTCCACCAGAAGGACCCAGACCGGCAGAAAAAGATTCAAATGTTCACCCCAAATGTCACTTACATTCGAACTCGCCTGTTCGAAGGGGTCAGGTCGCCTATTTCCAGAGATGACCAAAACAAACAACAATATATGGAGTGCACTCTCTGCGCCCAGTCACCACAGACTAACAGTGCCACAGTGTGCACCAAGTCACTAGCATCCACTTTTCATGATTTGCGCTAACCACCATCAGCCCGCCCGAAAAAAATAGACTCTGCTCAAGAACAAATAATGTGTACTTTTAAAACCAACCTTCAACCGCATCCCACCCCAAAAATTGTTCCAGCTCTGTGATCGAGAACATTTGCTGTATGATTTGTTTTCACACATCCAGACCAAAAGCAATTCATTTGACACATCCTCCACAACTCAATGCTTCATGCTTATTGAAGAGAGCTCACAAAAAGCCACCAAAGGTCCCAGAAACGTCAAACAAAAAGCAAGTAAACGCGTAACGCACCGTTGAATGGGACTTTGGCATCTCCCTTGCTTGGGCTTTGGAGTGTGTTGGAGCGTGTTGTTCAGTGTTCAGTTCGGTCGAGTTTGGTGGCATGTTCTTTGGACCTCTGCGCCACCAGCCACGAGACTTCTGGGTCGAAATCGAAGAAAACCCTCCCACAGAGCCGACAGCTGCTCTCAGGCAGCAGGGCTCGCCTCAGACGTGCCAGCGGCCCGGCGCAGATCCCGAGAATGCGGGCGAGTCGGGCTAAAAGACCTAGAGCTAGTAGCTGCTGCAGTGGGATGTCCTGTTTGAATACATCTCACTGTGTCAACACGGTCCTGCCCAGCAACGGACACAAAGTCCGCGGACGTCTCAGATGCTACTGCGGACGCCACCGTCTCGAGCCTGGATGAGGACTTTTCAGCTGGGGCGCTGAAGCCCATCTGGCTGTGTGTGTGTGTGTGTCACTGTGTCACCCCAAAAATAGACAGAACAGGTACATCCCGGGAAATTCCCGTGGTGTCCATGGGTGCAAACTGCTTCAGACCATACGATGAGGTGCCACTTTGAAACATGTGAAGCCATCGGTGTCACCTGCAAAAAGCCCAGATGGGTGTGTATTTCATTGCTTTTGCTGTATTTTCCTTCTTCCAGGACTGCTTTAGGAGGTCTCCTTGTGGTAATACACCCCCAGATTGGGATTTGAAAATCCGAGCAGTGAGCCAGTGCGCATCGCGGCCACTGGGCTTCCCCAACGAAGTGGCAGAGGTCGTCGACCCTTTCGGGTCGATAGTATTCTTGCATCAGTTGCGACAAGCTACTGGCCAGGTGAAGGGCTTCGCAAGAGAAGCGATAGGACCTACCCAAGGTGCCTAACGATGGGGGGCTGCTAGCGTTTGTTGAACAAAAAGTCGGATTGGCCATCACACGACGTATGTGCTGTCAGTGCTGTGCTGCTGTGCCCGCTTACCGCATACCAACTCAACGACATGCTTCTAGAAAAAGGTGGTAACTCCAGGGGCAAGCTGTAAATCTGTTGGGTAGTTACGGCTAGTTGTGCCACCTACAAGCTCCCCACAAGAGAGCAGAAAGATATTAATACTGACTCTGTCAGACGCAACATGGAAATGCCGATCCGCTTGCGATCTCACCGTGGACCTCACAGACGGTGCTCTCCTGATGCGACGCACTGGGATCGCAAAATCCGCCACCTGCGGCGCCAGTGAAGCGCAGATCTTTGCTGCACAGAATCCATGGCCAAAGACCACTGAGCTTTACGCATGGAAGATACAAAGAGATGTTCCTTCACAGTAAAGAAAAAGCACTGGCAAACGATCGCTAATCAGTGTTGACTAGAAAGAGACCATGAACCATTTCTCGATACCAACCACAATGGATTCAGCCGAGCCCAGACAAACCAAACCCATTCAGCAAATGTTTGGTGAAGGGATACATCATGTATGTATCATGACCACCTGTATGTTTAACGATGTTGGTCATCCCTTGGACTCTACCACCTGTTCTGACTCGGTCCGAAAAACGCCAACGCATCACTACCTTGCTCCATGGATCATCCTCCCATCGGCCCTCCCATCATGTCTCTTGAACGGGACGACCAGAAACGCCAGGGATTCCAAGGTCAGACTCACAGAGTCAATGACCAGCGCATGAGATGCTACACAAACATCACAGAAGATACAAGAAGCAAAAGAAGGGCAAATGACTCAGGCCAAGAAGCAAAACTAATGTGAAAAAGAGTCGAGCATATATGACCCCAGTATGACCCGAAAGCAGAGATCTTCGCCGGCGATCTGCTTTGGTCAAAGGTATGTTTTTCGGTGGTGACTGGACCCCGAAAGGCCAACGGCAGGCGCCTGAGAGTCGTAGGCAACCTCGTTTCCCTGCCAAGCTTTCGGAGAGCGGACATTCAGAGTTTCACAAATCCAGCTTGAGTTTCAGAAATCTCATGCAGTTTCCTCTTGAACTGACTGGATAAACAGGTGATGCGTCATCTGTTTAGGCCAAACTCCCAACAAGGTCTTCCGGACCGGCCGAGACGACGATCGGTCTTCGGTCTTCACCGAGCACGTGCTCCAGCTGTTCACAAGCACCTGAAAACTGGACTCTTGCACAGACCGTCTTCCTCTATCAATGGTGAAGCCTTGGAGTCTCGGTTTGTGCCATAGACTTCCATGTCGCGGCTTTCGGATGTCCGTGCAACAAGGAGCACAGAGGCAACTACGCACTGTCACGCACATCAAATATTCTAAAATGGTTCAGTCAAGTCCTCCCAAACAGAAAAGGCATTAAAAACGTCATAAATTATGGCCCATAATTATTGAGCCCCCACCCGTGTCTCCTCGCCTCCACGATGATGAAGGTCCGGCGCCGACGACGACGCCCGTCGGGGCCTCACGACCCGTCAAGGACCGAGTGCAAGGCAGCAACCCCTCCGGACCAGCCAAAAAAGATAGGGGCCATATCAAATAGATGGGAGCTGTCACGACGATATCTAAACAAAATAGGAAAAAAAACACCAACGAATCCCAACGAAAAGGCTCACCAACTCCGAGTCTTCAGAACTGAGGGCTGGGTTGATGATCTTTTTCCCGAGCGCAGCATATGCCACCCAGACCCCGAAGCAAAGCCCCATGGCCCGTGAGATCTGGAACACCGGATGGGGATAAAGAACCCGCCTGCACCCAAAAACTGTGCATTTTCTCCAGATCTCCTAAAAAAGATCACAACCTCCGGATGGGGGGGGAGTAGAAGTGGAGTACAAGTAGCTGGGGAGCCAACCCACATCTGAAACAAAGAAAAACAACACTAGATCCACGTGCCAAAACCCACATTGAGTCCAGAAATCTAGTGAATCTCCCCTATTTCTGCAGCATCTTCATTTGGAGTATATATACCTGGCTCCAACAAGGGACTCTTGGTATGACCACAGGAGCCGGACTTCTCCATGTGTTACTGTCACTTGTAGAATGATCAGACCCTCGATAATTCCCTGGTATAAAGGTAGGAACAGCGCATGTCCGTCCATTTAGTTAGAGGGTTTTATCTCTGGTCTTTACTGTACCTTTTGAGGCACACCATGATCTCACAAAAAATGGGATCAACCCCCAGTTCCATAGGCCAAAAAGGAAAAGCAGACCTTGAGCCGGCAGGACTCAACGCCCAGCCGGCCTTCAGCGGGCTCTTCATCCAACCATTTCCTCAATCGACCAACCCCGAGAGTTCGCAAAGGTCCATGGGATGAGAACCTTCGGGTTTTAGTCCAAACCAACCAGGTTTTGGGGTTCTGCCAGCCTCAAAAAAGAACGCCAAACCAAATCGGTCACTTCGGCCAGGTCCCGGTTTTGGGGGTTTCAAGGTCCAACCAGGTGGTCGAAAGCCGTGAAGTACACCAGCCACAAGGAGAGGATCTGTCATCCCACACACATGATGACTCTTGACTCTTGATTCATCGGAAAAAAATACAAAATTCTTCAAGCTTGGGGGTTTTATTCATCAAGAGTCTACATGACTATGACGATTTGGTTCATCGACCCACTTCAAGAAACGTCGCATGACTAAGTCCGACATCCTTGAGCAGAGGACAAGCACTGAACGTGCCTGATCCTTGATCTACCTGGTAATGACGATCGGCCATTCCTTCCATGAACTGCTCGTCAAGCATCCCACAAGCCGTAGCACAAAGCAACGTGAGCATGAAGAGCATCATCGTCCTTTGCGAGAAAGGCTAGAACCCTTGAAGGAAGAATCCTTGCATCACGTGATATGAAACCGTATCAATACACCTCTCATGGTCTTCAGCAGTTCGGGCAGCTCAGGCTGGGCTTTCTTTGAACAAAAAACATCAGGAACCACAAGCTATGGAGGATAGGTCAAGGACGGATTCGGAAACTACGATTCGGAAACTACCCCATGATTCGGAAACTGAGATTCGGAAACTACAGGCTGCGAAATGATTCGGAAATTATGATTCGGAAACTACCGCCTGATTCAGAAACTATAGCGGATGTCTGCAGGAAGCCCAAAATGATATACGCCGCAAGTAGACCCCAACGTTGCCACAGAGATGACTGCCAAACTATAACTCAAACCATAACATACCATAACTCCCTACATGGCGTATCATTTGAAAAGATCCGTCCAAACTGAGGTGTCCTTTTCACACCAGTTGAAATGTTTGGCATGTTTGCGGGCCTGCGTGATTGATGTGATTCCCCGCCTTGCTCGCAATCAGAAGCTGAACGTCACTATCCCACCCACCCCCAACCCACCTCCCACCCACCCCCCACGCACCTACCTGCTCGACTTCTGAACCAGTGTTCTTCTTCGTAGTTTCTGAATCGTAGTTTCGGTGCAGTAGTTTCTGAATCGTAGTTTCTGAATCGGAATTTATTCTGGAGGATAGCTCACCGACTGGGAGTGTCATCTGTATCATCTTTATTTCACTGTCTTGAAAAGCCGAGGCGGCCGGAACCCACCCCCCTGGCATTTGGGGAAAAAGGGCCCCCATCTGTGGTTCTTGACCTGAAGCCTTCTACCCCCCAAGCCACGGTCGGATTATGGTTGTCATGCAACGAGATCGGGCCTCTCTAAAGACATTGGTACATGGTTCAGTATTTGTGCACCTGGGCCATAACCAAAAAGCACAACAAACAAAACATGGATCTTCAGTCGAGATTTCTCAGCCAAGCTTCTCTCATCGGGAATGTCACCAGGGTCACTGGCCAAAGGATTCCGATTGGATAGAAATCTTCACCTTCATTCTATTGGGCCAACCAATCACCGATGAACCACAGTGGATTGGCTCCAGTTTGGTATCCGCTGCAGTCTCACAGCTTCTGCAGTCTCACAGCTTCTCACGAAAACCGTCAAACGTCAAACCAAATCAGCAAGCACCTTCCCACCAAGCGTCACTAGCTCCGGCAGGAAGATCAGCTTCAAATGCGCCGCCACACGGCCCAAAGCTTGCTCCACCTCCGTCGGGCGGGGTTTCAGGCAGAACACATGAAAAAAGGTGAAACGGTCGACGTCGATCCATACAAGTCATGGGTCACCATAAATGCAAAAAAAATAGCAAGTGTAAGAACGATGGTGGCCCACTTGGCTGTCATCGGAACGATGAACACCATGGTCTCTCAAACAATGCGACCCGCTCCTTCTGCCAGCCGGTCGCATCCATCCTCGATGCAACCCACGCGGTTCGCGCTCCGCGGTCCGAACCTTGCCTGGCTCATCGGCAGCCGGTCGAAGAGCAGACCATCCTGGGTGTGTAGGATGACAAACAAGTCTCCCTGGGTGATGGACGTCTCCATCAAGTCTGGGATGTTTTCAGTTGGAACCTAAACCCACGTTGCCATGGAGGGAAAGGCAAACACTGCGTTGCCTATCCAAGCCGTCCCTTCCCTGTTTCATTCATGGAGTCCTGACTGTTCACTCAGGAGGGTACGCGGACAAACATGGCCTGACATGGCAGCCACGAGCTAGCCCCGCAGTGGACTCCAAATGACTTGTTGCTTCTAAACCAAGACATACACCTATCACCATCTATCAGAATCCATCACCTATCAGTCAACGAAATAGGTTCCAACATCTGCATCAAAAACATTTAGCATCGGCAATGACATCCTTCAAACGCATAAGTTTTAAGCAACAATCCATGAGAACGACTGGATTCCATCTCAAACAACGATTTCGTCTCCAGGTTGGAACCCGTCGAAGCATCACTTCCCAGAGTGCAGTGAAAACCGTCTTGCCAATTTTGAGGAAACTCTGGTGACTTGGTGTCCACATCCATCAGTCCGATCATCAGTTCGTGACCGAGATCCCAGGATGGTCGGTCACTTATATAATTAGGCCTGTTTTCGGTCGGATCCAAAAACAGAGACTCCAGGATGGTTGGTCACGAAGAGGCCTGGTCCCGGTCCATCTCCCTCACCAGTCTTTTTGGGTCCACGGCAGGGACCGGAAAGGAGGCCGTCCCGGCCGTCAGAAGTGCAGCGCCCGCCCTGGCGCGTGACCGTGCCCAAACCAAACCCAGACCCGTTGGCCGGAGCAGTTGGAAGCGTGCGAAGATGTCTTTACAAAGGAGGCTGAAGGCTTCACTTCTTTTGGTCTCCTCCCAGGTCCGCAGGTCCTTCTGAAAGAAATGTCCATCCGATCCCCCAAACGCTCTCCACCGTTGGTCCATGCAAAAACGGTGAGAAGTACGTGCGGCTCAAGAGAACGAGGCCTTCGGGGAACCACCTCCACACCTTCGAGTCCGGTTATTTGTCCACCACAGTTGTTGGGACCCCAAATGTTTTTGAAGTCACCTTCATCATTGTCACGTCGATCTTTTGAGAAACCAAAAAACTCATGATATGGAAAAGACACACTGGGCCGATGAAAAAGACAACGCAGGGGCCGGGCTCCAACGACCTCCGTTTCCGTTTGCCTCGACGGCTCGGCAGGTCTCAGAGCCCCACCGAGGCCTGGAGGTCGGCTCCGGTCGTTCGGTCGGCTCCGGGCGAGGAGCACGGACACGCGTGGTTTTTTGGGGGGAAAAGAACAGGAACAAAAAGGAATGTAGGGGTGTAACAGGCTCCTGGATTCATCAGACCTCCCCTGTTTGAATTGAAAAACCTCTGCAGGCTTCGGCCAGGTGACAAATCAAGAGTCCACATGACTTCGCTAGCTGCTAGCTCTCGTCAGGCTTGGGGATTTTGCCCAGCCAACCGGTCGTTCCGAGGGAATCGGCGCAGCTTCCAGTTCCCTGTTGGAGAAGAGCTGGAGAACCCAACAAACATCGCTCCCTCCGGCGCTGTTTACCGGTTTTCACCGATTAAAATTTGAGCACTGCGATTTCATTGATTTATATGACTTGTTACTTGTTGTTTGACACTTGGTGGTCAGGAAACCTGGATTTGTCCTTTGGGGCAACCTTTCTCATGGTCCATGGCAATAGTCTTGCACCCGTGGTCGCACCGCGAAAGACGCCGGTGAAGGAACCACGGGATCAGAACCGACCAAACCCCGCTGATCCTTTAAGTTCCAAGAGAGATGTGGTTCGACCTGCAGGCCCGGTGCAGAATGTCAGGTGCCGCATCCAGGTGCCCGCACCGCAGCTGAGAAGCCACACCAGGCGCCACATGGCGCCGCAGGGGACGCCCGGGGCGCACGCCCGGCGCACGCCCCACGGCACTCCATGCAGTTCGAGCCCACACACCAAAAGGTTGGAAATTCTGCACAGGCACGAGACAACGAGCATTAGCGCGACGCCAGCAAACAAGCACCGCATGCCAACCTCCATCTAATGTTATGTAGCTGATGCTAGCAGCTAAAATTTCTGTTGGCCGTGCAAAGCAGTTCCGCCCAGTCAAAAAGAACGATGTGTGAATGTTTGAATGCCTCGGCAGGGGGCCGGTAGATCTGTGGTCCCAGTTGTCCCAGTTGAACAGGGTGTCCCAGTTGACCCGGTTGAACCCAGGATCCAGTTGACCCATTTGACTTTGTCTAATGACCACTGCATCAACTGGATCAACTGGACTATCTGGTTTCGTGGTATCCGATGGGGCGAGTGGAACAAGTCGGTGAAGTGGGTCCACGGAGTTCACCGCAAGTTGTTGTGAATGTTGTGTGCGCACAGGTCTTCGCTTGAGGTCCAGTCAGTTCTCGACTCGTTTGAGGAAAAAGGGTCCCAACCAAGGTCAACACGAGACGTCTGGTGTTGAGCTTGGTCTTTACTGCTTAAATAATTACTTAATACCTAGTGTTCGTTGGGATTTATCTTGAAGGATCATGTTCAATCCTTTTTACATTGTGTGTCAGAGCGCCATCTCGTCAGAACTGGTCACAGCTGGTGCTGGGAGTATGATGTTGTCGACGGCGACAAGCTTCTCGGGAAATCTATACATTTATAGTATTTATATAAATCTTCCTTCGCTCCCTTTTCTCTCTGTGCTAGTGTGGTTTCACGGTGAGCAAGCCATTTCATGGCGTTCATGCCCTGCTGGAGCTGTGGGCGGGTTTCAAAGAAAGGGAGGGTGCCTTGAGCACGAAAAGGAAAATCAGATTTAAAGCTCAAATCTTCCTTCGCTCCCTTTTCTCTCTGTGCTAGTGTGGTTTCACGGTGAGCAAGCCATTTCAGGGCGTTCATGCCCACACATCCCAAAACACTCACAACCCAACGTTCCAGCCTCAAGGCTCCGAGCTCCTGAGCAGGGCAAACCAAGCTTTCGTCGGTATCGAAGCTTTCTGAAAACAAGTGATCTTCTCCAGGACCTTGGGGAAAGTAGCAGCTATACCAAAAATATTTTCACGTTGGCTTTTAGACAGGTGAAGTAAAAGCTGCATGTTTGAAATCTCTTGTATATATATTTCCATCACCCTCTGATTCAACCATCTTCCGCGACGGCGAACTAGTTCGCTGTCTTCGCAAGTTTGCATCATCCACGTCGCCCCACCGGGCCTCAACGACCCCAGATCCAAAGTCTTGGAAAGTTTTAGCGAAGCCGAGTCCAGGTGAAGCACCTTCAGGATATCAACAAATCTATGTCTCAATGTTTGATCAGAAAAGGGCCACAATCTCTGATGGCTCTCCAGGTGTCAACAAGAGATAAAAGGTCCGGGATGTCCAGCTTGGCCGATTGATGACGGGCCGATACAAATCTCGTCTTCGGTTCACGCAAGGCCAATAGGGCAAACTTGTTTGTGTAAAATGTATCACTTGGTAAAAGAAGGTCACTTCGCAAAGCATGTGTCATCTCACTGGTTCTAAGGAGCGATCCCCACCCTAAAGCCAGCAGCCCAGCAACATTCAGCCATCCCCATGACAGATCGACAGTCAGCATCGCTAACAACACTTGAAAAGGCATAGCCAAATGATGAACCGGCTTTTCTTCTCTGACCCAACTAAAGGCCATGTCCCAAGCAGCTTGAAGTTGCCTCCTCCAAATTGGTTTCAAACTAGCAACACTATTGACTGTTTCAACCTAATGCGTATATGTCTTGCCGGCCTCATAGAGCCTCCTCCCATAAGCCAGCAGGATCTCGTTGATCCTTTCAACACTTTGTGCAGGGTTGTCGAAGATGGGCTGCATATGAAAGCCAGCAAAGTCGCACCATTCCAGGAAAGCTCCAAGCAGCTTCTCACGGTTTTTGGCCGTCAGGTCGGTGACTGGCCTACCTTTAGGCAGAGGCGCTCTATTCATACGGACTTGGGCACGGCGCACGTCGCCCGGGGTCCGTGGTCCAAAAGCTCCATGGCTATCCATTGCTCTAACTATTCCTAATCCGCCGAGGGGATAGGGAGAGAGCAGGAGAAGTAGGAAGAAGCCAAAGACACCAGGAGAGGAAAGGGAGCAAAGAGGTGGACCTTCTCCAGGAAATCCAAGTGATGAATCAAAGTCGACCAGATGGCGTGGCCCGTTCAGCGGATGTCCAAGGCCATAGGGTGCAAGGGCAGACTGAGAAGTCCAAGAGATAGCATGGCGACGAGTGTCATGGCGACGGAAGTCCAAGAGACCAAATCCATAAATTCCAAAGACAAAGCGGACCCAATTCGAGGCCCAACGACGAAGTAGAGGCATCGAGAGCAAAGACCTGACTTGATCTTCAGATGCAGAGCTGATAGGAAGGACGGATGTTGAGTTTCTCACCTCCCAACCTCTGGTAGGGTCATCTGATGTGTTGAATCTTGTAGGGACGTAAAGTATAGCCCACCAGCCAGGCATATTGCGTTGTAGCGGTGAAGTAGAGAGGACAGAGCAAGCGAGGATGATCGTCCCTTTGAAGCTGCACACCTGATCACATTCGAATCATCAGGTTGACAATCCTCGAAGAAGTAGGGGCCCTCGCCTTTCGCTCCGCCAGCCTCAAGAGAGAGGACATCTCCAACAAATTGATATGCCGTGTTGTTGCAAAAGCCCAGCTGTCCTCCTCCTTCCAAGGCAATGCAATAGCACACATGTTCGTGAACTGGTTTTCAAGGCCTTTGACATGCAGAGAATCCAAGTGCTCTGAAAGGAAGGCCTCTCTGTCGACAATGGCCTCTCTGAAACTCAATGCTATCTCCATGGCCAGCTCCTCGGTGTAGGAAGCTGAGGCCTTCGTGTGTTTGCCCTCCACAATCAGGCGAGTATGATCACGGGAGGACCTTCTGGTCAAACGAGAAATATCCATGTGGACAGCCATCAGCCGAAATGTGGTGACCCATACGCACAAGAGTCACATCTCTTGACCATGACATTCTGTTTCTCCTCCAGGGCTCTCCAAGGAGGAAGATATCTCATCATGCCCATCCACGGCTGTTCGAGTAGCCCTGGCAACATGAGGTGGTGGCACAATGCAAGGATGGCCAAAGCACGAAGAGCAAGAAAATTTCCAGTCTTTGTTTGCTGGCATGACAAGTCAAAACCATAGGGCACCATCTTTGATCTCAAAGGAGGCCTTCTCATCAAAGAAAAAGAAGTGCAGACCGGCTCCACCATAACGCTCTTGAGCTTGTAGCTTACCAGCATATCGAGTGAGGCACAGGTCCAGTTCTCCACTATAGGATGTGTCGATCGGAGGGCCCACCACCAAGCCCAAAAGCAACGCAGCTTTCGACACCCTAGCAGAGCCAGCATAGACCTCGATGAAGTCGTACTCAAAGGCGATAGGCCTGTCAGGAGATACTGAAAACTCCGGCTCTGGCCTGACATCCTCCGCCTTTTCAATGCCCTCCTCCGAAACGCCTAGTCGTGGTGGATCCATTGCACGAACCGCAGCCCAGTGGGCTTGGCCTCCCTTTCCCGGATGGAGCTTGTTCCTATCTGCCATCGCCCATTCTTATGACTACAATGCATTGGGTACTGAATTCCTATCAGGGGTTCATAGACTTCTTGCGCTACCCGTGCACTGGTCGGAAGCATCGCGCTCCACTGGTGCAGACACTCCTGATCTATCCGAGGCTACGCTGGCCTGATGGAATTGGTAACAGTGCCCTGCCCGCGTGATGGCATACCCAAGGCCAGCCAGGAGGCCTTCCGGAGTACTGAAGTTGACTTTTCCAAGGTCCTTGTGGGCTGCTTGCAAGGCAGCTCCGACCGGAGTGAGGCAGGGGCAGTGCTCATCTGTGTTCCATTGGCGTCCAAGCCGGCCATGACTTGCTTCATCTGCAGCTTCTGTCAGCTTGTCGAGGGGAACCTCAGCACAGCTATGTAGGAGGCTGCATATGACAGCTGGTAATTCATGTGGCATAAACCAGCGATGCGCTGCCAGAAGTCCAATGGGAGCTTTTAGGAGCAATGCTCTATGCTCCCTCAGATTGTCGGCAACTCCTCCGGGACTTTGTTTGGGGTCGCCAAAGAGCAGTCGAAGGAACGGCTGGCGCGGGATAGCCGGGACAAAAGCGGGTTGTTTCTTCCCCCACCAGGATGTCAATTTGTTCCATGTGTACTCTCAGCGACGAATGCGTGTGTGCTTTTTGTTCCCACACGGTTGCAATGACAACTTTGGCTTTAGGGATAGCCCCTGGGCAGTACTGCATGGCCAGGTCATACCTGGTGCTGGCTGCATTGGCCGCGGCCTCCTCTCGCCCAACAGCCCTTACAAAGAGTTTGGCTTGTTCATCGTCTAGTGCTAACGAAGCTAGTAGCTTGGTGATGGCTCGACCGGGTTTTCTTTATGGACTACACCGATCTTGAGGTTGGTTGTCAAAGCCAGCCAAACCAGAAGGAAGGTAAGGGAGCGTGTCTTCCCCGCACCAAAGACCCCTGCAACGGCCAACGTAGACCGCCCTGTTTGAAGGGCAGCTGCCAAGGAGAGTGCCACAGACATGATGTGGGCACTGTCAGTGCGGGCTGCCATGCACAGCTTCATGCCTAAAGCAGTGGCTGACGGACAATACCTTGGGGCATCGCCCGTTGTCAGCAGTGCGAACAATGAGAACAGGCTTTGCTGGAGGGCCTCAGCACCATCGAAATGATAGGAAACTGGACACGAGTAGGGAATCCCTAGTGCAGTGGTTTTATGTTCGAGCGGCACAGTTGCCATTTGCAAGAGGTGGTCCGCTGAGGCCGTGTTGCCTACTTCGGCCAAGCTGAGGATGCGCAGCGGTGTGGTAAGGGGGGTAAGCGTCCGCATACAATAGGGGAGACCCCACTTGGCGTCAATGTTCATGCCTAGCTCACTACGAGATGGCAGTGGGGCAAAGGCCTTTGGG